AGAGCTGGGGCATGTCACCATGACACAGAGAGAGGCCAGGACCTGTGTCCTGCTGGGGGTGACCAGCCACAGAGCCATCTATTTAAACCCCTGGGGTCTCTGTGAGAGGAGAGGGTGGGGATGTAACCTGGAGCTTGCAGCTCTGGGGATATGGATGGAGGGAAAAGAGAAGTGTGTGGTCTGGAGGGGCACAGGGTGGGTTTGAGGACTCCTGCCAGCCTCACCCCAGGTTTCCACTGCTCTTTCATAAGGTGTTGGGCCTGGGGAAGGGCTCCTCTTTCCTGGAAGGACTAACAGACCTTCACAGCACCAAGCCATGGACCCAACCCAGAGACAAGAATTGTACCCCGGGCTCTGGGAAGGGGCCTCATCCAGCAACACAGCATTAAACACGGTCCGTTCCCAGGACCCAGGTGTCCCCATGTCCCTCCTGTGCCGTACCTTCCTGATAAGCTGTGTTGATAGCTGCGATCTCCTGGTTGTTCCGCGTGGCCATGATTTCGATGAGGACACTCTCATCCGTGCCAGCTCCCTGGAAGAGAGCAGCATGGCGGGGGGCTGCGGGTGCCAGCGCTGACAGGGACACTGCTGCATCGCCCCGCTGGTGCCAGGTAGGGGGGGCTGATCTGACCCCAGGGCTACCACATGCCGAAAGTCCAGCAAATGGCCCCATAGGCTGGTAGGAACCAGCATGAAAGTGTCCGAGAGTGCTGCTACTGGGGTCCCAACTGGTGTGACTGGTGGATAGTGGTGCATGTCACTGGTTTGCCCCTACCCTGGATGTCCTGTGGCTGCCTGCGCTGGGCAGGGCACTGCTCCCGCTGCAGAGTGGGGATGCTCTGTAAAGCCGTGGGAAGCCTCCTTGAGAGGCTTTGTGTATGAGCTGGCTAGAGCGTGCTGGGCTGCAAAGAGACCGAACTGGGCTCCCATTGGGTCTCTTGAGTGCAAACCAGGGCTCTGTCCTGGAGCTTTCTGCTCTGCCTTCCTTCCATATAGGGGATGAGAGCCCGCGGGGGTGTGAAGCCGAGGTGCACGCACAGCCCCCAGAAGCATGGGTACAACCACAACAAAAACCATCCCGTCCTCACATGCCAAGGCTGATCCCACCAGCATGGCGCTTACCTCCACAGCCTTCCTCAGCTGCTTGGCATCGTACTGCGCCGGCGTCAGCATGAGCCCCAGGATCAGCTTGGCCAGGCTGCCTGACAGCTCAGATTTCAGGTCTGCCATCAGGTCCTGCAAAAGCGTTTGGGTGTTCAGGTCAGCCTGACCCAGCTCCTTCCGCAGGGATGGACCAGCCAAGCAACACCGGGGAGAAAACAGGGGATGAGAGCATGGAGGCGGGAGACATCTGGGAACACCCTCGGGGGCATTTTAGGTCACATTTTGGGGGGTGGCTCTGGGGAGATCCAGGCTCTGGAGTCCTCTGTGTGGGACTGAGGATGGGGCAGGTAAAGGGGAAGGGACACCCTCCCGTCAGGCTGGTGGTGCACCCTCAATGGGGGGCTGACAACGTGGTCATCCTTGGGGGGCTCATGGTGCCCTGGCTGCCCACCGCTCCCCGGGCAGGATTTCATAGAATCATTGAGTGGTTAGGGTTGGAAGGGACTGTAAAGATTTCTTTCAGCGAGGGGCAGATCTCTGGTGGGAGGGGGCAGGATGCGGGCAGAGGGAAGGAGCAGGTTGGGAGCCGGGGGGCTCTGTACCCTGCCGTAGTGAGCCTTGTAAGCCTTTAGGATCTGCTGCCTCTGAGCGTTGCTCCTCTGTGTCACCACCTCGATGATGGCCCCTTCGTCCGTGCCTGCAATGACAGCAGCGATGCTGGGAGAGCCGGGGGGGCCAGCAGAGCCACACTGTGTTACCCTGACCACAGGCACATCACCATCCCCCCATAAACGGGGGACATGCTTAAGGGGGAGCTCCCACAACTCCCAAACCATCTCTTTATTCCCCTTAGGGCTTTCGTGCAGCCCTGTGTGTGCCAGGGTAGATTTTCTCCCCCAGAAGCTGTTGAGGAGCAGGAGGAAGGGGCTGGGTGTGTGTTCCCCACTTACCCAGACCCTTCATTGCCTTCCTCAGCACCTGCGCGTCCCCGTCATCGTTGAAGCTTGCCGCAGGCTGCACGGTTCCTCGCAGCTGTGGGTGCACAGAGGGGTTTGGGGTCATCCCCGAGCTGGGAGGGATGGAGAGAGGGATGGACAGAGAGAGGGATGGACAGAGAGAGGGAAGGTGCCACCCAGCAAGCCGAGGCCAAAGCAGGTTGTGTGTTAGTGCAAGCACCTGGGGCTCAGTGAGGATGTCCCCACCGCTGTCACCCCTTCCATTGAGGCAGGCCAGCAGAGAGCAGGGAGAAGACGGCAACAGACAGTCCCTGGAGTCTCGGTGTCCTGCTCGGTGTTACACCCCTGGGCCCCCCGGGCGGGGGGTGGCCACATCAGCCAAGAGCCAAAAGAGGAGTCGCTGAAAGGTGCCCGCAGCTGCCCTGCAATTCTACCCTCCTGTGTCCCTACAGCTCCCATCACATCTCCATCCTCCCCCTGCAAGTGCATGTAGGGCTCAGGGGGGCTTTTCTGCACATCCCAAAGCACCCTTTTGGGGGTGCCTCCAGCTGCATGCAGGGTGCCGGC